TCAGGGTAATAACTTTGCTTTATTTTCATTCTCCCTTTCCGTAACATCTTTAGGAGAAAACTTCAGCTACCACATTGCAACAAAGAGATGGTTATCACAGCTACTATAGTTAAAGAATAAACAAGGATAATGACTATTATTAAACAAGGAAAATAGGCCTCAAAGCCACAATGTTACCATGGGTGGCACCACAGTGACTTTGCAGAGCCTACTGCCTCCACTAGGTATTAATTTGACCAGTGACCCACTACAGAAATCAGTCATCGGACACACTCCAGAAATGGGATTTGAAACAAGAGTTGATCGAGCAGGTTTCTATTTCTGATTTTAATCCCTGGTTTTGATCTAGGCAGAGGAGAAAATGACCTTCCTCTGCCTACTGCCACATAAGGCTAAGAGGTTTAAATTTGTTTGCCAACATATTAAATTTGCTCAAACACATCCTTTCACTATAAGTACCAAATGCTAAAAACTCAAGCAGCAAGCTACAGCATTCTTCACACTATGACATCATCCTGTCTGGTATACTTTAATATAATTTGGAAATAAAATTTGATTAACTAAGAGCAGCCTAAAGAGGATACATTAAAGATCCAAATTGAGGACACTTATCCAGTAAAATGAAAAAGAAAGCTCAGCGCAACGTCCAGCCTTTCCAGTTACTTCTACAGAACAGACCTTATTGGTTGTTCCAATGCTCTGCTGTAACAGTTCTACAAATAGTGATAGTAATACCATTACCCTCTATTAGCTGAATACAAGCAATCCACAAGTCCAAGCAGTGGGGTAACCATGCATACAGAAACCAATGAAGGGACAATCTTACCATATAGATTTGTAAATGGCCTGACAAGGAGTGGGAGGAATTAAGTAGTACATTCTCCACGTGGTTTCCACAACAGATTCCTGGTTTCCAAGCCAAAAACTTCCTTCTACTGAAGAGTGCCTGCTTCCAAGTATTCATAATTGCAGTTCCTACTACAAGATGCTCACATTTACAGGATCCTGATCATTAACAGTGAAATGTCAACAAAGTCTTTGTGATAGTATCCATTTCTATCAAGGCTGGGTTTTAAGTTTCTGAACATCATCAGAAATTCTGGTGGAAATACAAATGCTACTCTTAAAATATCAAAAAGGAAAGTATTCAAGGACTCAGTTGAATACTTCAGAATGACCACTTGTCAAGGCATATTACATGAAATAATCTCCACCCTGTCAGTATAACTACTTATGAACTTTAAGAAATGTTAAACATCTGCATTTTGCAAGAGCCACAGGAAAAGCGAACAGTTGCACTAATTCACAAAGAATCACCAAGTTATGACTTCTTTCCTTAAAGTCATAACTTTCTTGCCATATAGACCCAAGGCTAACAGGCAGCATTCCTCACTGCCCAGCAGTTTCAAGAGGAAGCTCTCAAGTAGCACCTCCTCTGCAAAGCAGAGTGCCTGCCTGAACCCCCTGAAGAGATTTCTGTGTTAAAATTAAACTGTTCCTACCATTGGTAAGAAACTCTCCTAGTTAATCTATCATCATATAAGCTGACATTTTGTACAATACTAAACAAAATCTATCAGGCTGGTGCAGAGAACCATAAGATACAAAAAGCTATGGTCTATTCCCCACTTCCTGAAAAATGAGTTTCAGTACAGTGTATTTCTAGTTTCAAGATGAGGAGTAGAAGTACTTAAAAATCATTAAAATGAAGAACACATGCTTAAAAGATAGGCGTGCCATACTAATCTGTTTACTAAACTGACAAGAGTGACATCCCCCAGTCCCCACGCACATTCCTAAAAGCACAAACATATCTATGTTGCCATCATGGGCATGTCTCACAGGACGATTAGCTTAACTTAAGTTTCATACTTCAGAGGTCTTGTTTGCAGACTAACAATGTGATCCAACACGAAACACACAGAATATGTGATTACAAGTCTAAGCTAAGCAGCTCCTCGTTAGGACAGCTCTTCAAGTTTGAGCCATTTTAAAGGCTCTGAAAATAACAATAGCCTAAGGCAAGCACACACATTTGTTTTCTCTTCAGAAACCAAGATTAAAAAAAAAAAAAAACACAACCAAAAAAACCGTAGCCAGAGGCCATAGGAAAAAGAAAAAAAAAAAACCAAAAAGTGCTTAAAAAACCTAAAACATAAGTCCCCTTATTTCCCGAGGCACACAGAGCACAACAGTTTGAGCTCCAGGAAGACACCGTTTCCCCATGTGTACCTATTTAAATAGCCCCATTCTTCACCGTGTGTACACACGAACGCACAGAGACACTCACCACTTTGTCCATAAGCTTCCAGGTCTTCTCCACAGTCCTCCGGTCGGCAGCTGCCTGCTTAGGGGGGCCCACAGCATCCTGAATGGCATCAATGAAGCCCAGGATCCGTCCCTTGCGCGGGTTCCGGCCGTTGAGGGAATTGGCCATCTGGGAGCCAAGCTGGCCGCAAAGACAGAGAAACACACACTCACAAGGTGCTCTGAAAACATCTTGTCACAGAACTCCCCGCAGCCAGTGAGGTAACACTTCCTTCTTCACGGGCAGGAAAGGGCAAGACGAGGGCATGTTTAGGAGCAAGTTTAACTTTTCACGACAAACGGCGGAAACCCACCTGGCCCGAGTTTACATTGGCAGAAGCGCTCCCAGATTTACTGTCAACACCAACCCGCGGGAGGGGGGAACC